ATATGGTCTTTACAAGAAACTGTGTCAAAATTAGAAATTATGGCGGGAATTAAGAAAGATTTATATTTAAATCCTAAATTACTTACTAACACAAATCTAAACTAACACATCAAAATAATGCACTAATGAAGCACAATTAAACCAAAAACATGGAGAGAAAGATGTACTAAAATATGACTATCAGAAAGGTGCAGTACTCGCATTTCCTCTTGAATTATAGTTTTGTGGATTCCACTTAGAAAACTGTTGTCCTCTATTGTTGTTTAGCTGGAAACCAGGTGGATATGGTTGTTATGGCCTTTGATAATTGCCCATATAGTTGACTTGATCAAGTTGTTCTATAACTGTGGGATCACAAGTTCCATTCACATGGTTGCCACCACAGAAATCACAACTCAGTTGTGAATTTTGAACAACACCAGTCTGCATGTTACTTATTTGTTGAGTCAATGCAGCAAGTTGTTCAGAGAATTGTTGATTTTGCAGTTGGTTTTGAGCAAGCAAGGCTTTTATGGATTTGATCTCATAACCTCCTCTCCTTGAAGCTTGTCTTTCATTTAGATTTTGATACATCGAAGAAGCCATCATCTCTATAATTTGCTGTGCTTCTTCCAAGGTTTTTGAACTCAATGAACCTCCAGCTGCTGCATCTATCATGGTTTTAGTTGCTGCAGTTATTCCATTATAGAATGTTTCAAGTTGCATCCATTCAGGTATGCAGTGATGAGGACACTTCCTTAATAACTCCTTGTATCTTTCCCATGCCTCATACAATGGCTCTCCATCTTGCTGAACAAATGATGTGATTTCCCCTCTGATTTTTGCAACTTTAGAAGGGGAAAATACTTGATTAGGAACTTGTTCACCAAATCAGCCCATGTTGAAATGCTACATTATGGCTGAGCTTGAAGCCAACACTTGGCTTTATCTCTCAATGAAAATGGGAATAAACTGAGTCTAATTGCATCCTCACTCGCCCCATTAATTCTGATTGTGTCACAAAGTTGTAAGAAATTTGCAATGTACAGATTTGGATCTTTTGAATGGCCTCCTGCAAATTGTTCTTGCTGCACCAGATTTAAGAGTGCAGGTTTTATCTCAAAGTGGTTGGCCTGAATTGTAGGTCTCAGAATAGAAGAGCTGAACCCTTGTAAATTAGGAAGTCCATAGTCCCCTAATGTTCTCAGTCTATGTGGCTCTACCATCTTTATTTGTTTGGGAATCTGACTGGTTTGAGGTGAAGGTGTAAAACTCTCTTGCTCCTCTCTTTGAATTTGCTTAAATCTTGCTTCACTTCTCAACCTCCTTAAAGTTTGGTCTATGTCTGGATCAAATACCAAAGTGGCTTTATTTTTGTTTTTCTCTCGCATATACAAACCAAAAATTAACAAAGTTAAACTAAAATTCAATAGTAAGATATACACTAACAAAGATTATGCAGAAAAATATCAGCAAATACATGTGAAATGCAAGTCTAACAATTGCATAATGATGCAAAAATTCTCTACTATTATTCTACACTTATCTATTAAAAACATAACAGAGTAACTTGAATGTCATACTAACTACAGAGAAAAATTAAGACAACAAGAATTCAATCTAGCAAATTTTCTATTACTAATGATATTGAAACTCAAATTCCCCGGCAATAGCGCCAAAAACTTGTTGTACAATTTCTAAACACTAGCAACTGAACTAGGAATTGCAGCAAGTAATTAGTAAAATTAAGATCTAAGTATCGTCTCCACAGGGAATTAGGAAATCAATTACCAATTCTCAGATCAAAAACTAGTTGAGTCATACAAATTTGGAAAGGTTGTAACATATAAACGCAATAAACTAGAACAATACAAAGAATTAAACTTGCAGTAAAACAGAGTATGAAAGTTATGTTGAGATGAGATACAAATGAAGGATAATTAGGAATTTATTTCACAAGAATATCAATATTAATTCAATTAAACCTCTGAACATTCAAGCAATTGGTTAATTGAGAATCAATTTAACATATAACTAGTCAAAGGTTAATCCCTTAACTCATTGACCCTAACGATCAACTAAACCCCCCTAATCCCTTAGGTGAGATTCAATTTCAAGTTGCATTAAGAATTAGAACCATAAGGTTACAAAATTAAGTTCCCTTATCCCTAAGAAATTCCTAATTCTTGTTGCTAATTCAAATCAGAGAAGCAAATCCAATTCCCATTGGTAAAGGTTCCTCTTTGATTAATCAATTGAATTCCCATTCAAAGATTATGATAACAACAGAATTAACAACTCAATTAATCCAAGAACTCAAATTTCAGAAGCAAGATGATGAATCCATATTTTTACTAGTATTTTAATGTAGTTTTAATCCATTTGATAAGGAAACTATGTTAGAAAAAGCAGCAAAACTCATAAAAATAGAATGATTGAAGATTTTCCTTAAATAAATAGTTATTTTAGCATTTGTGAATTTTCTGTGTAGAAATTAATAATTCAAGCATGCGTTTTTTGTAGAAAATTTTGAGCAAAGTTCATGAAGATGGAAGATCAATGGAAAGATAGAAGAAAAGTAGCAAGTCTGGACTCAAAGAACAAGGTTTATGGAGTTTGAGCTGGGCGTGGTACCTATTATAGTGAAAGTGAGTGTTCAAGAGCGTTTCTCATAAGAACACAGTTTGCATTGTCACTTTCGCTGGTGAAAGTGAGTGTTCCTGAGAAGTTCCAAACATTTCATGATGTGCATTGTCACTTTTGCTGGCGAAAGTGAGCGTTCCAGAGGACTTCAAACTCAGCCCAATAGCACGTTATCACTTTCGCTGGTGAAAGTGAGTATTACAGAGAGACTCCATACATAGCGAGAAGCGCGTGGTCACGCTCACCAATGAAAGTGAGTGTTCCAGAGAGACCTTCAGCTTTGCAAGTTGCGCATGGTCACTTTTTCTCATGAAAGTGAACACGCGCACAACTCGACTTCTAGCATTGCCACTTTTATGAATGAAAGTAATCACTCCAGTCTTCCAGAACATCAGATAAGCCTGCGCGTGGCTACTCTTATGAAGTAAAGTGATAATGCGCTCATGGCGGGAAATCTATAAATTGAAGAAACGATCAGATCTTTGATTCTTTTGTTCATTTTTCATTTTCACTTAGTTCTTGTGTATGGAGAGAGTCTGAGAGAGATAGTGGAGACGAACACCGAGCTTCAACCTAGAGGAATCAGATTGAAGATGCTTCTTCTGAGTTCTTCCTCTTCTTCTCTTTCTTTTTCTTTCTCTGCTGCAATGGCTCTGTAATTTCTTCATATTTAGGGATTGTAGATCCAAAACGAACATGTTGAATTGATTCTGGATCTGAATTTCAAGTTTTGGAATGGATTGAGTGGTTGATTCTACACTTTACGTAATAATTGAATGGAAATTTGATTAACTAATTTCAGAGGAACTCTTGTCAATGGAAATTGAATTTGTTCTTCAGATTTGAACCAATCACCAAGATTATAGCTTTCTTAGTGATAAGAGAACTTGATCTTGCAATCCTCTGGTTTCTCACACTTAAAGCAACATTGAATTGAATCAGATCTAAGGAATTAGAGTGATTTAATTGAATGTTAGGTTCACTGAGTTAAGGAATTAACCTCTGAATAATACAACGTGAAACTGATTGTCATTCTATCCAATTACTTGTAAGTTTAAAACTTTATTGATTCAACATTGGAATTTTGGGGAAGTAACTCCCTAGCTATGGTTTCTACCTCTGTTTTCTCACATTTGCTTGTTCATTGTTCTGTTTTTCCTCTGATTTTAACATTTGTTAGTTTTAGTTCCAAATACTCTTTGAAATTCATGAAGCTCAATTAATTGTGGCCTTGTGAAGTGGTAATTGAACACTTTTATTCCCTGAGATAGATACTTGGGACTCTAATACAATTCTATCAATTTTTATAACTTGCTACATCAACACTAGTACACTTGCTAGTCAAATTAACTTCTCTTCTGAAGTGTGTCATAAGAATCGAATCAATACATCAATTGAAGGTCCATAAACTCCTAACTATGAAGAATTAAGCAAACATTGTAACAAAGAAAGAGAACAAAGGACAAGAAGGAGAAGAACGCAGAAACAACATCTTCAACGATCCCTAATCCGATTCCTCTTCTAGGAGCTCAATGTTCGTCCCTAATCCTCTCTTTGACTCTCTTTGAACAAATAAAATAAAGTGAAAATGAAAAATGAGCAAAAGACCCCGAAATCTGAGCTTTTTCTGGTATTTATAGAATTCTCGCCTCTGGGCTTATCACTATGCTCCATAAGAGTGACAGGCTTAATTGGTTTCTGAAGGACTGGAATGATCACTTTTGTTGATAAGAGTGGTAACACAGAAGGTCGAGGAGTGTGTGTATTTACTTTTGAGAGCAAGAGTGACCACGCACAACTTGCCAAGCTGAGGACTCTCTGGAACATCCACTTTTGCCAGCAAAAGTGGTTACGCGCTTCTCGCTAATATTAAGTCTTCTCTGGAACACTCACTTTCACCAGCGAGAGTGGTCACGCTGAAGTTTGCTGAGATTAAGGTTCTCTGGAACATTCACTATTGCCAGCAACAGTGTTAACGCACAACGTGTTCTTCTGAGAAACTCTTTGGAACACTCACTTTCGCTGGTAAGAGTGACCACGCCCAGACTCCACTTCTCCTTTAAGCTATGGAATGATCACTTTCAATAACAATAGTGATCACGCCCAGCTTGCATTCCATAATTCTTGTGTTTTAAGTCTAGAATTGCTACTTTTCCTCTTCCTTTCCAGTGATCTTTCGTTTTCATGAACCTTGCTCAAATTATTGCTACAAAAACAAGATTAAATTTCTTAAATTCTACACAGAAAACTCATAACTTCTAAAACAACTATGAATTTAAAGAAAATCTTCAATCATTATATTTTTATGAGTTTTTCTGCTATTTTCCTAATAAACTGGGTTAAAACTACATTAAAATATTAGTCAAAATATGGATTCATCATGCAGCTGGAAGCTCAATCGATAAGTCATCTCGTATTTGCACAGCATCCGGCTCTATCACATGAGTTGGATCTGGAACATACTTTCTCAATTGTGATATGTGAAAAACATTATGTAATCCTACCAGTTGAGCTGGTAATGCTAGTTTATAAGCCACTAGTCCTCTGCAATGCAGTATTTGATAAGGTCTAATGAACTTAGGTGATAGCTTCTATACCTTTAGGGCTTATCTCGCACCAGTGGTTCGTGATACTCTTAAGAACACGTGATCACCCACCTCAAACTCCAAAGGTCTTCGATGACGATCAGCGTAAGACTTTTGACTATTGTAAGTCACCCTTAATCTTTTCTGTATAAGCTCAACTTCCTCCATGGTTTTTTGAAGCATTTCTAGTCCAACCATCAAATGTACTCTGTCTTGAAACCAACAAACTAGAGTTCGACATTTCCTACCATACAAGGCTTCAAAAGGTGACATGCCAATGCTTGAGTAATAGCTATTATTGTAGGTAAATTCCACAAGAGGAAGCATGTCCTCCCAATCACCCTTCTGATCAATAGTACAAGCTCACAGCAAGTCCTCTAAGGTCTGAATAGTTTGCTTCGATTGACCATCAGTTTGAGGGTGATATGTTGAACTCAGCCTCATTTAAGTACCCAAAACTTCTTGAAAACTCCGCCAGAATTAAGAAGTGAAGCGAGGGTCCCTATCAGAGATGATGCTAGAAGGTACTCCATGCAACTTAACAAGCTCTCTGATATACAGCTTAGCAAATCTTTCCATGATATAGGTCATGTTAACTGGCAGAAAGTGAGCACACATAGTCAATCGATCAACTATGACCTATACAGCATCATGGTTTTTCACCATTTTTGATAAATGAGATACAAAGTTCATGGTCACACAGTCCCATTTCCACTCAGGGATCTCCATGGTTTGCAATTCTCTAGGTGGACAACGACGTTCTGCTTTTGCCTTTTGACAAGTCAAACAGGCCTCGACAAATCTAGCTATTTCACCTCTTATGCCTGGCCACCAAAACATCCACTTCAAATCTTGATGCATTTTCGTCACTCCAGGATGGAGATTTAAGCTACCCTTATGTCCTTCCTCTAAAATCTTCCTCCTCAACTCAGCTCCTTGTCACCTTCTTAACAGAAGTAATTTTGACTAGCAAGTGTACTAGTGTTATTGTAGCAACTAATAAAATGTTAGAACTGTATTTGAGTCCCAAATATGCTTAGGGAATAAAGTTCTCAATGATCACTTCATAAGTTCACAATTAGTTGAGCTTCACAAATTTTAGATGAGGTTTGAAAATACAAGTAACAGATATTAAACTCAAAAAAGAAAACAGAACAATGAACATGAAAGTATGTATTTGACAAATGTAGAAAACATAGCTAGGGATTTGTTTCACCAAAACTTCAGTGTTGATTCAATAAAGTTCTGAACTTTCAAGTATTTAGATGGATTGACAATCAGTTTCACATTATATTAATCAAAGGTTAATTCCTTAACTCAATGAATCTAACATTCAACTGAATCTCTCTAATTCATTAGACCTGGTTCAATTAAATGTTGCATTAAGCATTAGAAATCAGAAGATTGCAAGATCAAGATATCTTATCCCTAAGAAATCAATAACCTTGGTAATTGATTTAGATATGAGAAACAAGTTCAACTTCCATTGATAAGAGTTCCTCTATAATTAGTTAATCAAATTTCCATTCAATCACTATGTGAACAGCAGAATCAATTACTCAATTCAATCCAATACTCAAAGTTCAGATCTAAAATTGATTCACCACTTCCATTTTGGATTCAGAATCCCTAACTACAAAGAGTGTAAACAACCGTTACAACAGGAAAAGAGAAAGAAAGAGAAGAAGAGAATGAATGAAGAAGAAGCATCTTTAAGCCAATCTTCAATTTGATTCCTCTAGATTTGAAGCTTGGTGTTCATTTTTACTTTTACAACTGTTGTTGCACTGTAAGTAAACTGACTAGCAAGTATACTAGTGTTGTTGTAGCAAGTTATAAAAAATCTTAGAAACAAATTGAGTTCCAAGTATCGTCCTCAGGGAATAAAGTTCTCAATTACTACTTCACAAGATCACAATTAGTTGAGCTTTACAAATTTCAGATGGATTTGGTATGAATGTATCAAAAATGAAATTAGAAATTAAAACAGAACAGCTAGCATAAAAGTATATAGTAAACAGATGTAGAAAGAGTAGCTAGGAAATTGTTTCACCAAAACTTCAACATTGAATCAATAAAGTTTTGAACTTTCAAGCATTTAGATGGAATGACAATCAGTTTCACATTATATTAATCAAAGGACAATCCCTTGCCTCAATGAATCTAGCATCTAATCAAATCACTCTAATCCCTTAGATCTAATCCAATCAAAAGCTGCATTAGGTTTGAGAAACCAAAAGATTGCAAGATTAAGATATCTTATCCTTAAGAAACCAATAACCTTGGTAATTAATTCAGATCTGAGAAACAAATTCAATTCCCATTGATAAGAGTTCCTCTATGATTAGTTGATCAAATTTCCATTCAATCACTACTTTAACAGCAGAATCAATCACTCAATCAAATCCAAAACTCAAAGTTCAGATCTAGAATCAATTCAACATTTCTATTTCAGATTCACAATTCCTAACCACAAAGAGTTTAAGCAAACATTACAAAAAGAGAAGAGAAGAGAAGAGAAAAAGAGAATGAACAAAGAAGAAACATCTTCAAGCCAATCTCTAATCTGATCCCTCAAGAAATGAAGCTTGGCGTTCGTCCTCAATCTCCCTCTCTGACTCTCTCAACAACAAAAACAAAATGGAAAATATAAAAAATGAACCAAAAAATTCCCTTCTAAAATTCCTGAGCTAACTGTCTTTTATAGAATTCCTGCTCTGCTGGCGTGATCACTTTTGCCAGCAATAGTAATCACGCAAAGGCTAATTCTTCATTTCCACTTGCGTGTGTTCACTTTTGTTGAAAATAGTAGCCACGCAGAAGCTTCCCTTACTAATGTCATGCGCGTGTTCACTATTGCTAGAAATAATGAACACGCAGAGGCTACCTTCTTGCGTGTGTTCACTTTTGTGGATAATAATGAACACGCGCAGCAATTCTTCTTGGAGGACTCTCTGGAATGCTCACTTTTTCCAGAAAAAGTCATTACGCATTAGCTCTTCTCAATGCAACCTCTCTAGAACGATCACTTTTGCTAGCAAAAGTGATTACGCAGAAACTCTTCTTCATTTTATGGTTCTGGAGTGATCACTTTAACTAGCGAAAGTGATTACTCAGAGGTTGTTCTTCATTTATCAACTTCTTTCCTCCAATTTTTGCTACTTTTCTTCTATTTTTCCTTTGATCATCCAATCCTCATGAACTTAGCTCAGAATTCCCTACAAAAGCATACTTGAATTGTCACTTTTTACATAGAAAATCAATGAATTTTAAAATAACTATGTTTAAAAGTGACATGCAACATTTTATTATTTTTTTAAGGGTTTTCTACTATTTCTACCACGTTTTCTTTATTAATTGCACTAAAAACTATTGTAAAATACTAGTAAAATATGGATTCATCACTACCCTAAACTTGAATTTTTGCTTGTCCTCAAGCAAATTAGAACATATCAAGAGTGTAAATTCTTATTAATTGAAATCCAAAAACTTTTTACATTTTTCAGAAAAATTCAGATTAAAAAAAATCCATTTTACTTCAATGCATTCTAATGATTTTCTCACTAAGTCATTCACCAATTCTTCATCATGATAGTCACACTTGAATTATCTGTTTGCTGCACAATCTCATTCATTTCAATCAAGCAAATCATTAAAGCTACTTGCAAACAGAGTTGAGAAATATTATCACAGCTCTCAGAAAGTGTTTCTCTAACTCAATCAGTGTTTAAGCTTGTGTTTGCTCTTAGGATCACCAAATTCATCAAACTCTGCCATAAGCTTGCCTATATTCTCTACCTCTTTTGCAAATTTACAATTAATCACATATCAAGAGGACTTTTTAGGTAATATTAAGGCTCAGGGACAGGTATGATTTCAATGAATTCAGGATATCAATGCAGCTAATTTCAAACAGAAAAAGATGCAAATTGAGTAGATAAGCTTTTAAACTTAGTAAGGGCTACATCAACTGTTTCTATTCTTAATCAACTTTCAATCACAGTTTAAATTTTTGCAGAATTATCTACCAATTTTCTTTTCCTTTTTGATTTGCTGATTTCTTTTTACTTCTTTTTCATTTGTCTATGCATGACTTTTCTTACTTTCTTATTTCATTTCAATCCTTTTCTCAATCCTTTTCTACCCCAAACTTAGAACATTGCTTGTCCTCAAGTAATGCACTAGAAACATGATGTTACCCCAAACTTAGTTTTAAAACTTATCTTCGATTCAACTCAATTTGCCTCTTTTCTATTTGAATAGGTAAAATGGTTTTTCTAAAAAAAGCTTGTATTGAGGTTGATCAAAGAAAGGCTATAAGCTCAAAGGGGCTAACTAAGACATTCAAGAATGAAGGGCAGTCTATTTGGCTCACTAGGTAAATCTGAATAATGGCCTTCATCCTTTATGTGATTAGTGCAAAACAACATATTCAGTTAAGAAACAAAGCAAGTCCTAGAAAGTGAATCAGAATTTGAGATCAGTCACACATCAATAAATGAAAAGGTTCAAGTCTCACCAAGGAAGTAAATGGATAATATTCATCAATTCAATTCACTATTTACTTCAAAAATTTGCATGAATAAAATGGCAAGACTGCTTTATATTTTTAAAATAAAAGTATGACAATCATGTTAAGAATGAGAAAAACAACTTATGTAATTCAACAATCAGAATTTCAATCAGGTGAAAATCAGGTTTATTTATCAAGAAAACAAAATCTAATGCAGTTTAATATTTTTCTAACTTGTGAATATTTTATGCAAAATGTAAGCTGTACACACGAAAATAGAGGTACAGAATTAAACCCCCCTTTCATGGTAGTTGTGCATATTTCAATCATTCCATGCACTCCTTGTTCAGAGTTTGAGAGCATGGTCTGCACAAAAACATCACAAGTTGTTCATCAATTATCAGATAAAAATTCAATAAAATTTAAAGCTAGTAGATATTTAAAACAGAATTGTTCATAACCAAAATAAAACTAAAATGTAATTACAACACTCAAAAGTCTGAAATTCTAATTACAATCTTTTTACAAAAATTAAACTAATGACAGAAATTTAAATTCCTAATCTACTCTTCATCTTCATCCTCATCCTTATCTTCCGAATCATCATCTTCTTTATCATCTTCTTCCTCTTCTACAGCAGCTGCTGGTGGAGGAAAATGAGTTCTGTAGATGGGGAGGTCTTTGAAGACAGCTGACCTTAGGCATTGGGCATTCTCTGCTTGATCTAGAGTGTGGTACAAGTCTTCTTTGGTCATGCCCATCTTTTGACCAATGTTCATGAGAACACCTTCCAGGAGCATGATGCTAGCCTTCATACTGCTGTGCAACTCATTCTGCCTCTTAGCTAAGGAGTTTTGTCTTTCAGCCATGAAGGCTATCTTCTTCTTCATTGTGGTTAGATTCTCTCTTTTGAACTGGGAGGGAATTGGGGCTGCTGATGTGTAAGAGACAGTAGCATAAATCTCCTTCACCATAGCTACTGTAATTGGAGGTGCAGCTCTAATTTTGATTTAATAATCTCCAATTTCAATACCTGCATCCTCACAAAGAACAATTATTAACAAAGGGAAAGCTAGAGAATCTCTTTTTCTCTTGAGGATGTCCAGAATGCATCCACTAATCACTTCTCCTACATCTATATAAAAATCATTGACTATAGCATATAGGAGTTTAGCTCTCTTCACTGCTAGAGTGGAGCTATGCCTAACAAGTATGAATGAACTCAAAATAAAGGTGCTCCACACTTTTGCAAAGGGCAAAAAGTTCTTGGTTGTGATGCATTTGGGCTTTTCTAATAGATTCAGTTCCCAAGTAGTCCCTGGTTTCCCAATCCTCTCAAGGACTTGAA